CGGCCCGGCTCGGCCCCGGGCCCGCTCGCCCGCCGCCCCGCATGGAGCTGTCAGCCATCGGCGAGCAGGTGTTCGCCGTGGAGAGCATCCGGAAGAAGCGCGTGCGGAAGGTGAGGCGGCCCGGGGGCGGCTCCCGGGACCCTCTGGGGTCCCCTCCAGTCTCCCGCACCATCCATCCCCTCCAAGCCGGGGGCGAGGGGAAAGTGGGGCGGGGGGCCCAGGGCGCCTCGCGCGGCAGGGCTCGTCTCGCCCGTCCCGTGCCTCAGTTTCCCTCCCCACCTCTTCGGGCGAGTAGAATTAAAGTTGTCGCCCCGGGAGGCGGGGGCGCTGGATCGCACCCAGGGAAACTGGGCGCCAGCCCTACCCCTCCCCTCACCCCGAATCTGTGGTGACCGAGGCCCAAGTGGGGGAACGGCTTGCCGCGTGCGCTCGCGGCGGAGCTGGGTCTCGAACGCGGGACCCTGGGCTCTGGGTACCAAGTCCTTGAGGTTGGGGGCGGAGCTCTGCGCCGGCCTCCCGGCGCCTCCCGAGTCTCCACGCGGGGTTCAGACCTTCCTGGTCCCCGCCGTACCCTCACCGCCGACTTTCTTCCCTCTTCCCATGCACACCCCTCAGTCTTCTCCACCCCAACTTCCAGCCCCGCCCCGCGGGCTCGGCGAAGCCGCCCCCGTCGCGGGGCGCCCACGAGGCTCCTCCCCGTCGCCCGCGCCCTCGGAGCGCACCCTACAATCTCAGGGGGCGTGGGTTCTGCGGGGCTCGGCCCGGCCGGCGTGGGGATGGCGGGCTCGGGGAGGCCCCGTCCGCGCTTCCGCCGCCATCCTGCTTATCTGCCCTCCGGCCGCCCCTTCCCGGGAGAGGGGCTCGAGGTCACCTCCGCCCATTCGACGGGGACCGAACCCCAGAGCCGCGCGGGGGCGGCGACCGGGTCAAGGTCACACAGCGACGGAGGGCGAGCCGGGGCTCAAGTTCGTTGGCTGCCAGCGCATCTTTGAGAGGGAAAAGTCGGTGCTGGCGTCCCGGGCCCAGGCGAGGGCACGGCGGGCCTTTCGCCTCTCCCGACGCCCCCGGCTCGAGCGCCGGCCTCCAGGTGGGGCCGCCCCTCCTCCCCCGCTCCTGCCCCAGGATTTCCTGGATGTTAATTTGGTTCACAAAGCCCAGTACTTTCCTTGCTGGGTAGCTTAAGCCGGCAGTAATTAGCCCCTTCTGGGGTGGGGGTAGTGCGGGGTGGAGGGAGCTGGCGTCAGCCACTCGCCCCGATGTGTTTGTTGAGACGCTATTTCGTCCCCGTCCCGTCCCCGTCCTGACACGGCCTTCCCTCGTGGGCTGGCCTTCTGGCAGAGAAATAAATAGGGCTCCCTCCTAATGGAGGCATGTGGAGAGCTGCGGGTGGGAGGGCGCAGGCGGCCAGGGAGCACCTCTTTGAGGTGACCGATTTGGTCTCAAAGTCGGGGTGTGGCAGGACTTCAACCTCAGGAGGGGGTTCACTGGATGCCCTTGTCAGCTGTGAAGAGGGGGGAGCTGGAGAGGCAGGACCACCCTTTCAGAAGGTGACTTGGGCAGTCTTCTCTGGGGTCCTGCCCTGGCCTCTGGAGTTGAGAGCCCTGAAGCCAGTGGCTTTTGGCCTCAGGGCCAGAGCAGCGCCTTCCAGGGATGGGGCTGGTGGGGTTAGGGCCATGAGGGATCCCTCAGGGAGCAGTGGGCCTCTGGGTCTTGTCCTTCCCCCTGTGCACCTTGCTTCTGCTAAGGAGTCCCAGAGGTGTTTGGGGCCGGGCGCATTTCAGCATTCTAGGGGTTGGGTCTGGAGGGGTGTGCAGCCGCCAAGGTGTGGGCAGATCTGATGGGGTTGGGGGTGTCCCTGAATATGTAGGAAAGCCTGTCTGCAGAGGGGGTGGGCCACATGGTCCTGTCAGGCCTTCAGGGCACCTGTATCTCACTTTCTGCGTTTCTCTTCCCAGGGCAAAGTCGAATATCTGGTGAAATGGAAAGGATGGCCCCCCAAGTAAGGCTTGTTTGTGTGTCTGTCTGCCCTGCCGCTTGCCCTCTCTCCTGCCCAGGTGTTAGCTCTAGCTGCTCTAACCGTTGGTCAGTGCACCTCCATTACATTATCCTTTGAGCCTCAGTTTCTGGCTTGCCAGCTGAGTGGCTCAGAGCTCATGAGGGTGGAGGTGGGGCCCAACTTCTCTCCTCACCTGACCCTGGGTGTTGAGCTCTGTCTTTTGCTTGGCGCCTTCCCTCACCAATTCCTGGCTTGTCTTGGCACCTGGAAGGTGAAGACCCAACATCTTGGTCCACAGATAGCTGCTGGCCAGGAGGAGGGGGCCCCCAAGCCGCAGCAAGTACAGTACAGGTTTGGGCTTGTGGGACTGGCATGGGACCCGGAGCCCGAGTCCTGATGCCACAGGGGCCACCTTGCCTGGGACAGCACTCTGAGGAGCAGGTTCCCAGGCTACCTTGGGAGGCAGGTGCAGTCCTCATCACTAAAGATGAGGAAACAGGTGCAGAGAAGGTAAGCAGCTTGCCTTGGGTCACAGGGCAGGTAGAGACAGAGTGGGGGCTTGAATTCTGCCTCCCCGGTTTCAGGTACCTCCTGTGCCTCCTCCATTTCCAAGTGGGGGAGGCAGGGAGCTGGGTCCAGGCTCTCTCCCAGTGGCTCCACCTCCTCTGCAGGACCCAATCGGGAACCTTCCTGCCCACCCAGTGCCTCTGTAGGGAGTTGTGGGGAGGTAGGGAGTTGTGGGGAGGTAGGGAGTTGTGGGGAGGGAGGGAATGAGCAAGTCGTGGGGCCTCTCTATTGGCCTGTGGGTGTCCCACCCCCTGCCCTGCCTTCTAGAGACTGGCTTCTGGAAACCCCCTCTGCCTAGGCCACTGCTGTCTATACGGGGCTGAAACTCCTCCTGGGCTGGTGTTGGGGTCAATTTAGTATCAGATCCGGCAGCACCTTTGGGGGCCTGGTGGAGAGGCAGCAGTGAGGATGGGAGCCTGTGCTGCCTCAGCCTCCCTCCATGCCAATGGGTTCGAGAGCCAGGCCCCCTCGCCCCGTGGAGTGAGAGGCCTTGGGCACATGTACAGGGCGACCCATGAGCATCCCACTAACTAGTGGTGGTGCTGCCGGGCAGCTAATACACTTTCCTTCCTGTCGCTGTTTCCCAAGCACCTGGGCTGCAGGAGGAGCCCCACCTTCCAGGGCAGATGAGAGGAGACCTCCTGTCCCCATGAGGGAGCAGTGAGAGGAGGAGAGCTAGGAAAGGAGGCTGCCCAGGGAGGGCAGCGGGAGCGCTGGCACCCATGTTGGAGTGTGGTCATCAGCCTGCCGCCCTCCAGGCAGCCCTGGCTGTCGTCTTCTCTGTGGATGCCATCCTCAGAAAGATTTGCTTCTCTAGATGTACTTACCAATGAAAAGCTCCTTCTCCCACTTGACTAATCACCTTTATGCCCATCGGTCAGGGGGAGGGACCTGTGCTCTGGGTTCTAGGAACCCTGTTTGACCAGATGATCTGGAGCACCTCTGGCTCTGCCACCCTTTGGCCCTGGGCTAGTTGCCCAATGGGTGACTGTAAGCCGTCTGGCAGGTCCCCAACAGGGGGGTGCCCCTGTTGCCTCACCTCCCAATTGGAATAACAAGTCCTCCATGGCGATGTTGTGACGGCTGTGAGGGCCTGGCGCCTGCTCGGCAACTAGTGTTTCTGGCCCTAGCTCTGCCTCTAAGTCTGGAGAGGGCTGGGGGATGCCATTTCTCACAAGTAGCCTTAGGCTTATTTATCTGGGTGCTCCCATGTTTCCAATGGGAAACGGAGGCCCAGAATGGGAGGTCACTGCAAGAACACAACTGCCAAGGTGGTGCAGTATGGCGCCCACTTCAAGCCAGCCACTGTCCCCCACCCAGATGAGGCAGTTGTGAGACTTAATCATCCCGCTTCACTTGGAGGGAAAGGAGGGGAGAGTCTGGGAGAAGCAGAAAGCCAAGACTTCTTAGGAATCCACTGCTCTTCAGCCTCCCTCCCTGGGGTCTTGCCAGTAGAAGAGGCGGAGCAACAGGGTGGAGTGGCTTGAGTACCATGTGGCACCCTCCAGGCTGGGGAGCCATGGCTAGGGCGGTGCCAGCCTCCGTGGGGAGGAGAGCAGATTCTTCTGCCCAGCCTGGCCAGGGAGATTTATCTTGGTAACAGAAATGGTGATTTAAATGCATGCTTCATGGCAGGCCCTATAAACCTTCACATGTTTTGCCTATTTTCTGTCCCTGAAAACAAATGACCGTCCTTCCTTCCCAGCAGATGGGGCAGAGGAGCGATCTAGAGTAAGCTGGGATGGATCAAGTGGCACAGGGAGGGGCTTGATGCAGGGAAGAAGAATAAGTCCTCATCTACAGGTGTGCTCAGCCCCCAGATCCCCCACCCTCACTGCGGCTGGCCGGAGATTGCTCTTACCCCTCTGGCAATGCTTTTTCCCCCTGCCTCTCCCACTTCAGAACACAGCCCTGTCTTTTAGGGAGGAGAGCCTCTTTGGAGCTTTAGTCAGGAGGCTGTCAGTGAGTGCAGCAATAACCTGGTTAGCGAGATGTCTGCCCCTCTTGTGATCAGGCCCGGGCCCATTTCACAGATGGAGAGACAAACCTTCAGCAGGGAATCCTTGCCCAGGTGACAGTGCTAGGTCCCTGGCAACTACCAGCTGCCAGACCCCAGGCTGGGCCTAGCCCTGTGATATGCAGCTAGGCCCACCAAAGCTGACCAAGGGTCCCTTGTGTGTTGGTCAGGAGGGGACTCACACTGCCTGAGAGAACCCTGTGAGTGGACCTGCTGTGCGACTTCGCAAAGCCCTGGGCCGCTCTGCGCCTCCCTTTCCCCAACTGGAAATGGCCCTAGCCTCACCTGCCCTGCCAAAGGCTGCTCTTGCCCCTTACTAGAGGCAGAGGAGGTCTGCTTCCTCCTCCAGGTCAAGCTAGGCAGTGGCAGCAGCTGAGCCTGGGGTTCAGTCCCTGGCACTTTTTGCATTCCCTAGAATTCTGAAGTTGATTTAAGTGACCTGAATTTGTTTTTACTGTGTATCACCCCTGTGGGGGGCTTAAGGCGGCCAATCTGGACTCTACCCTAAAGACGGGACTGTCTAATCACCCCACTTCACGGAGAGGGATCCGAAGGTCCCAAGGGCATCTCTTGCCCACGGGTGATCCCGCCCCTAGCTCACCGCGGGGGTCTGGGGCTGGTCTGCGCAGCCGGGCGCAGGAGGACTGGACGGCCTGTTTACTGGGCTCGGGGGCGGGGCGGCCGGTCACGTGGCCGTGTTTACTTCGGAGCCGGCGCGCGCTGCCCCCGCCCCCGCCCGCCATTGGTCGGCTGGCAATTGGCGCGCGCGTCCCCTGTGCGTGCGAGCGCGTGCGTGCGCGCGGGGCGGGGCCAAGCCCGCTCCCTCCGCCCTCTGTCCCGCGCCGTCCCGCCCCGTCCCCGCCCCGGCAGCCCCAGCCCTCGGAGCACCCCGCCATCTCCCAGCCTGTGGACACCGGTGTTTTCGCAGAGCGGGCTCGCCCTTGTGGCCTCAGCCTCCCCACTGCGGAAGGGCCCCGATGTTGTGCTGTCCCGGAGCCGGAGACCCACCGCCCGCCCCCGCTCCCCCGCGGATCTGGGCCCAGCCTCCTGCCGCCGTCCTGACCCGCTGCCCTTTCTTCACACCCGACTGACCCAGTCCAGTAACAGTCCCCTGAATCTGCCGGCCCGGCTAGGTCAGACACTCGGGACACGCTCACATCCTGACCCAGCAACATCACAGCCCGCGGAGACCCAAATAAGGGTCACGTGGGGACCCGAAAATAGCGGGCACCGTTCCCAGAATTCCGACCACAGACTTGCTACTATTGGCCCTGCAGCCTTGGCAAATTGCTTACCCTCTGTGCGTCAGTTTCCTCATCTCTAAAAGGGGGGGATCTGCCCCATAAGGCGACCTGAGCAATGGATGAGTCCCCAGGGGTGGTGCTCTGGCACCTCCTAGTGAGTGTGTGTGAGGGTGAGTGTTAAAGAAGTTGGGGTCCAGAAGACGTTAGGGACTTGCCAGGATCAGCACAGAAGCTTCCTCAACAACACGGGCAGGTGGTGAGGATTAGAACACTAGAGACAGCAATCACGGGAGGAGGCTGGTCTTCCTCTCTGGACTAGTTAAGTTTACGAGTCCACAAGTGTCTGCTAGCCTTTGGCTACTTGTAGTTTGGACGTTTCCCAAACTATACAAATTCCATTTTCACTTTCAGCATTTCTTTAGGTGAGCAGAAGTCTGCAGTGGCACCTACCGCCATTCCCCAGAGCACCGGGGCCCAGGGTGTGGGGCTGGGGCTGGGCAGTCTGGGAGTTCAGCTGAACTTGAGGACCAGGGCGGATGCGGCAGAGGGCAGTGCAGAGAGATGGCAGTGCCACCAAGGGGCAGTTGAGGAAAACGCCAGGGACCTGGGAACTCCTGCTGTGTCTGGCCTTCATGGGAGAGACTGGCAGGTCCACTGGGACTGGGCATGGGCACAGGCACTTGGTGTGGCCTTCATCGCAGAAGGGTTCTGTCCTGGGTGCTGGTGCCCCAGTGTTGGGTGCCACAGTGTCCTGAGTGGCTCTAGAGGCAGGGCTTAGCTCAGCGGGTCAGTGGAGCCAGCGGGGTTCCACTCGGCCACTTTCTGTCCCTAACAGCTCCCCTGCTACGCAGCAGAGCTGGGCACAGCCTCGCCAGGACCCTAGACCACTGGTCTGGTTTTGTGTGTATGCATGTATACGTGTGCACACATGTAGGTAGGTACAGGTTCATGGACATTGTGTGCTAGTTATATGCATACCTGTGGATGCACATACATTTCAAAGTCTCTAGAACTTAGTCAGTTCATGATGAATGACACTGGTTTTTCCATTGATGAACCATTCATAATGGTTGCTTGTAAAATAAAATTGATTAGGGCCTCCCTGGTGGTGCAAGACGTTAAGTCTCAGCACCATCAAGCGATAACTAGCCACTACAGTTTAGCCAGGGAGCTGGCTCACAGGCCGCAGCAGACCTCTCCTGTCTCCCAGCTGCTCCCCTCAGCAGTGTCTTTCGGTCCGTCTACCTGTTCTGTTCCCTACTCTGTCTCTGGTGAATCCTCTTACCCGCTCCTACACATACCCCCACACACCTCTGGCCTACACCCCAGTTCTTGTATGCATAAATAAATAAAAATAAGTCAACCTTTAAAATATAAAATAAGACTAAACAAAAAAAGGGTGAATTGCTTCAAGGCAGATATTAGCAGTACCTGGAGGATGGCCGAGCAGGCAGAGGGTGCTCCGTGGTCAGGAGTGGGGGCAGATCCCTGTGGAACTCCCAAGGGCTTCTGCTGGAGGACTCTGCCCATGCAGTCACGAGAGTCCTGCTGTGTGCCAGGCCCAGGGACAGGGCCCTTCGGACCTGCTCCCTGCTCACGGTGGCCCTGATACAGACCCAGGAGGGAGGGGCAGAGGAAGCCACGCTGGACCTGGACCTGGAGCCGGGTCGGATGGTAGCCAACACAGACCACTTCCTGTCCGCCAGGCACCGCTGTGTGCGCTTAGCCTCATGGGCCTGTTTAATCAGGCAAAGTCCTTCCAGGTGAGGCAGGTGAGGCCCATAATGGTAACACTGTTCAGGCGCGCATGGCAGGGCACAGCTGGGCTTGAACCACACAGGGCTCCAGAGCCCTGTCCATACTGCGCGTCCTTTCCTCACTGGGAGGGAGTCTGGGACTTCGGGGCCTGCGCTCTTCCAGGCACCCTGCACTTCTGAGGTGAACGTGGGGCCTAGTGAGAGTTGTGCAGCAGGGACCCGAGGAGCTCTGTCTTCTCCCTGGGGAAAGAACTCAACATGGACAGTTAAGCAGAAAGTGACACTTCTGGTGAAATAAAAAGGAGGACAGGAAAGTTCTCTGAGCACAGAGGGGTGCCTGATGGGTTCCCTGTGAGGGGGCGAGAAGTGGGAGTTTATGTGGGTTTAGTGGTGAGGTATGGGAGCTGGACTCGGGTGTCTCAGCATGTGTCTTGCTGATGGATTGAGGCCCGTGGGGTCTCCCAGCTTCCTGGGCCCACCGAGTCGCCTGCCTCTTGGCCTGCTGTCCCACAGTGAGCTCTGGTCTGTTGCTGTGGTGCAGTGTTGTACTGGCGTTCTGAACACTCAGCTTTTCATTGGATTGGGGGTGCCCTGACTCCAGCCGTGCTTCATGAACGAGCTTAGGGCACCTGGGCTTGGGGTCCTCTGATCCTGACTATCTGTACCCGTTTCCCGAGTGGGGCCTAGTCATTTACGGGGTGGTATGGTCCGTGCTCAGTCTGCTGGTGCTGGAGCCACCAGGAGGCCCCTGACCTTGCCGGCAGCCACAGCTTGCTCCTGGGATTAAGGCTGGGGCCAGGCAGGGGTCTACAGGACAGGTCTGGTGAAGAGCCGTGGGCTCGGCTGTGGGGGTGGAGAGCAGCCCGGCTCTGACCGCTTTTCTCTTCCCAGGTACAGCACGTGGGAGCCAGAAGAGCACATCCTGGACCCCCGCCTGGTCATGGCCTATGAGGAGAAGTAAGGGGCTGGGCTGTGCTTGGTGCAGGGTCTGGTAGGGACGCCCCGGTGAGTCTGCGGCTGGGCCGGCCTCTTGCTGGCTGGTGTGGGCTCTGCCACCACCTCCCGGGCCCCCGTCTCTGTGTAAGGCGGGCCCTGGAACGGCGGCCCCGTTCCCCTGGAGGTGGGCTTGTTCGGGGGCGACATAAAGCTGCTTTATGGAGGTGCCCGGGTGCAGGGGCAGCTGTCTCAGTGATGCCCAGTCGTGAGGGAGGCGCTCTGTCACCATGAAGGAGAAGGTCTGATGAAGCTTGAGAATGACCTGGCAGGAAGCCGGCTTCTGAGTCTGGTCTGTCCCCCTGAGCCACCCTCAGGTCCCAGCTGAGCAGAGCCCGTCCCACTCCAGTGCGGGTCAGCTTGCGTGTCTGCCCGACTGGGGGGGCCCCGACCCCCACGATTAATGATTGGCAGCTCCGCCCCATGGGCTGTAAGGGGCACAGCTTGTGGGAGCCTTTGGCAAAAAAGGTGGTCGCTCCCTCCGTGGGGCCGTTCCCCTCTGCTGCCGAACCCAGGCCTCACTGAGCCCTGCCAGCCGCCGCTCCCCACTCTCGCCGTGCAGGACGGGTCACTTTATTTGGCCCCCGCGGGAGGAGGGGCTCTGACGGAGGAAACTCAAGTTCTCAGAAGCTCGGCGATGCCTCCCGGGGCCTCTTGGGAGGAACTGGCTCACCTGGGCTTCTTGCCCAGTTTTTCTGCCGCCCCTCTTTGCGTCCTTACCCCTCTCCGCCAGGAGGTTTCCCGCCGCTGGTTCACGGGCCGAGTTGCCACTGTCTTGCCTTCATGGTTCAGTGTCCCGCCCCGCGCCCACGGCTACTTTCTGGTCCCCGGTGCTTGGTGGGTCTCAACCCAGTGGCCACACTGGGGAGGGCCCAGTGGGCCAGGCCCTGCCCCGCGCCAGCAGAGATGTTGGGCGATGCCCTGCCCTCCCAGAACCTCGGTTTCCCCACCTGAAATGGGGATAGCAGTGCCGCCCTCACCCGGGCTCCGCGGGCAGCAGGGGTGGGTGAAAGCACTGAGCCGTGTGTGGTGCCGCCTGCGCGGGCTCAGCTCGGGCTTCCTTCCCTTGCCGGTGCTGGGGACCAGCAGGCAGCCTCCCTGGCTCACGTCCCAGTGCAGGGACAGAGGCAGTGGCAGGTACACAGTCGCTGCGCTCGCTGGGAGGTGACGCAGCACAGGGGGGTGAGGGGCGTGAGGCTGCGGCTTCCGGGGGCTTGGGCGGGGCCGACGGACAGGAGGCCTGAGCCTCGAGCTACCCCCGGAGTTCAGGGGGAAGGAAAGCTCTTCTCAGACAAGGACACTGAGGTCCAAAGAAGAGAGGTGACCCCCCCACTTCTCCCTAGGGTCAGACACATCGGAGCAGGAATGGGGTGCCCTCTGGTCACAGCACCCAGGTGCTCTTCCAAATGCCACTTTCGACCTGCAGCAGGCCCTCCGCACCCCTAAACACCATGGTCCCTGGGGCATGACGGCTGCCCCCAGAGGAGGGCCCCCGAAGTGTAGGCAGCACTGAGCGGGACCAAGGCCTTGACCAGGAAGGGGCAGGCGAGCCCTGGCCCCGCCGCTCTGCTTGGGACTCGGCTCAGGTGCCTGCGGGATGAGTGACAGGTCCTGCCCGCGGCTCTGTCTGCAGGGCGTCGTGGCTGGGCAGTGGCTGGCGGGGGGAGACATCCACTGGGCAAAGGCAGTTTTCTTTCCTTCCCAGATGAGAAGGGGCCGCCCACCCACCAGGCTTGCGTGATCCCCAGGGGCTATCGGGCAGCGCTGCTTTCCCGAGAGGCCCGGCCTGTTCCTGGCGGGCCTCTGGCACCTTGGCAGCACCCTGGCCAGCAGGTCTCTCCGCAAGTCTCCTGAGTAGGAGCTGGAGCAGCACTGTCTTGGGGCGTCCCTGTGTCAGGCAGAGAGCTCCACGTGGCGCGAGGTGCCCTGAGGACCATGTACTTCGGGAAATGCTGCCCAAGCCCATCTCTGTGGCCGGGGACCAGCGGCACTGTCAGCGGGAAGACCGAGCCCTGGAGATTGACACTTGTCCTCACTGTTATGGCCCAAAGAGCACAATAGGGAGGAGCCCTTAGCCCAGGATAGGGGTGGCTTTGGAGGGTGTCCTCTCCCCACGGACAGCAGAGGCTGGAGGAGCAGACATCTCATTTTCCCTTAAATGTCACCAGTGTTTCCTTTTCTTCTGCCATCTGCTCTGCACCCCAGGGAGGAGAAGGACCGAGCGTCGGGGTACAGGAAGAGAGGTCCGAAACCCAAGCGGCTTCTGCTGCAGGTAACCCCGCCGCCGAGTTGCCCCCACAGGCCCGTGCTCCCCCATAGCCTCGCCCCGCCCCCCGCACTGGCTAGTCGAGTCCCCAGTGGACAGGGCGCTCGCGGGCAGTGATGGGAGATAGCCTGGGTGGGAGGTGCCCTGGGGCGGGTGGGAATATGTCTTGTGGAACCCTAGAATTTTGAAAGTTTAAAATCTTGAAGTCTCTGATGCTCGGAGTCCCCAAGGCACATGTTATGTTTGAGAGCCTTTGAAACATCAACTTTAGAATTAAGGTCATGTGGGATTTGGGAATCCAGAAAATGCAGGCTGGTACAGTTCTGGAGCCGCAGCCTCGAAGTGCCCTGAAATGTGGGGAGAAGCCCACAGGGCCTCCTTGCCCAGCGTCCTGCCACATCCCATGCTCCCCACACTTGGGGTGCTTTGCTCCCCTCACTGGCGTGCGTTGAAGAGCAGTGGAGTATGACGTGAGCCGGAGCTTGACTGCTCTAAGATCAGGGCCATGAGCCCCTCTCCTGCCAGACCCACTGGGTGTTCGAAGCCCAAAGCCGAGGCTCTGGCCTGTGGGCGGCGTGAGCCACGTCAAGCCTCCTGTCCACGACAGAGGCACCAAGTAGGCCACCTGGGGGCTTTGCCAGAATGACAGGCCCCTCACCCTTGACCACGAGAACGGGGCCCCAAGGGAGTGCAGCCCGTCTCGCCTGATGTCTCACTGTGCTCGGCGCCCTCCCAGGCCCGCACATCTCCCACACGCAGCCTCGGGGAGGTGCGTCAGTCATCTGCTGCTGAGGTTTGAGTGACCCCCAGCCAAGCACCCACAGACAGCACCACCTGGCACATGGGCTCATGGGTCTGAAGTGTCGAGCGTCCACCCTTTGAGGTGTTGGTTTGGTCCTGGCAGTGGTGTGGCCTGGGGCTCCGCTCCTGAGGGCGGATGGTCCACTTCCAGAGCAGCGCCTCGTGGGCCTGGCGGGGCCATGGGGTGGGGGCTGGGGGCCTCCCAGGATGGCCGCTGGCTTCCCCAAGAGCAGGAGATGTGGGCGGTAACAGGAAAGCGGCTCAGGGCCTGGCCCCGGTGCTGAGTGCATGGGGACACTCAGCAGGGAGTCCTGGGGCTCGGGGCTGTACAGTGGCTTCCTTGGTCTCACTGACCGGGGTGAGGCGCATGGCTCGCCCAGAGTCCAGCTGGGTTGACTCCTGGTGCTCCCAGGATCCCTGTCAGCTGAGGATGCAGGTGAGTCCACCACAGGGTCGGACCAAAGCTCGCTGGCCTAGGGATGGCCTGTAAGCGCAGTGGGGGCACTGGGTTTTGTTAGGGTGCACACAGGACCAGTCCCCCCCCCCATTCAGGTACCTCCTGCCCTCCCTGTTCTGCCTCCTCCCATCACCATGGCAACTGCTCCGGGCGCCCCTGGGCACCTAGCAGGGGTGTGGGGAGAGAGCCTGTGCGTGGCTGCAGCCCCCCCCGGAGCTCTTGGCCTCTGGTGGCGGGGAGTGGGAGGGACGGAGAGATGCGGACACCCTGACCCTCAGCACCACGGTCTCTCTTGGCCTAGTGTAAAGTCAGTAAAGTTAATCCCCACATTAAAGCTCTCCGAACCCTGAGCCGTAGGAGAAGGCCCCCCCGGCTGTCTGGACCTGGGGCCTCAGGCAGCAGAGTGTGTTTCGAGCGTGAGTCCTGAGAGCAGCAGCCCAGAGAGCCGGGTTTCTTTCCCAGTTTGTCTGCGCGTCCCCTACGTGTGTGCCCAGGGAATGTGCTCGGGGCCCTCACCCCCACTTACAGCCCGCCTGGGGCAGGGAGGCTTCCCCGGCCAAGACAGTGGCGGGCGGCGACGGCACCGGGCGGGGGAGCAGCTTAGGCCGGCGTGGTGTGGGTGGTGGGCAGGGCTGACCCGCGCGCCCTGGCTTGCCCCCGCAGCGGCTGTACAGCATGGACCTGCGGAGCTCCCACCAGGCCAAGGGCGAGGAGAAGCTCTGCTTCTCCCTGATGTGCCCGCTCGGCAGCGGGAGCCCCGAGGGGGTGGTCAAGGCGGGGGCACCCGAGCTGGTGGACAAGGGCCCCTTGGTGCCCGCCCTGCCCTTCCCGCCCCGCAAGCCGCGCAAGGCCCACAAGTACCTGCGGCTCTCACGCAAGAAGTTCCCGCCCCGCGGGCCCAACCTGGAGAGTCACAGCCATCGACGGGAGCTCTTCCTGCAGGAGCCTCAGACCCCGGACACCCTGCAGGCCGCCGGCGAGTGGGAGCCTGCTGAACAGCCCCCCGAAGAGGAAGGTGAGTGTCCAGCGCCGCCGCCAGGCCCAGAGACCCACACGCTGGGCAAGCCGCCTGCCCACTGCCGGAAGGCCGGGGCTCGCCCACGGGACGCCCACGCTGCTGGCCTTCCTGTGTCCTGCGTGGGATGAGCTCTCGGCCAGCTGGGGAGGGCAGCAGAGTGACCGCCTCCGTGGGCAGCTATGAGCAGGCCCTGACCGGGTGGGGGACGCTGAGGGGGCACGTGGGAGGGCAGGCGTCTGCCTGCTGCCATCTGCCCCCGCTTCTCACCTCGTCAGCAGTGTCCCGTCTGTCTGTCTCTCCCGCGGCTGCAGCAGAAGCAGACTTGGCTGAGGGGCCCCCTCCCTGGACACCCGCGCTCCCCCCCAGCGAAGTGACAGTGACCGATATCACTGCCAACTCCATCACCGTCACCTTCCGTGAGGCCCAGGCCGCTGAGGGCTTCTTCCGAGACCGCAGCGGAAAGTTCTGAATCACCGTTTTCACTCTACAACTGATTTCTTTTGGGCTTGGGGTGGGGGCTTCCCGAGATGGGGAGGGTAACTCTTTTATTTAGAAAAATGTGGGACAGAAAGGGCAGACCCCACCCCACCCCACCCCCAAACCCTGTCCCCTTCTCCCAGTCATGTTTACAGAGAGGCCTGGGGCTGCTTCCGAGGGCAAGGGGAGGCCCAGCACCTCGCTGTCAGTTGGGGTGCCGCCTCCAGGGATCGGGGACACCTCTGTCGCCATTCTGCTCTGGAGAAAGGCCCAAAGCCTCACCTGGGAACGCCCAGCCCCAGCTTCTGGTTGATTTCCCTTTTCTTTTTTTTTTTTGGGGGGGGAGTTCCTTTTTAACTTTCCACTCCAGCTTTTCAGTGGGATGTGGAGCTGGCTTTGACCAAACATGACTGGTTCCGGGAGAAGGGGCAGGAGGAAGGACTGGGGTCCTGGCTGTCCCTTCCCGCGGGCCGGCTGCCGCTGAGAGCCCGCCTCTCTGCCCTCGGGGCGGCTGGCGAACCTGCCGGCAGCTCTGACCAGGTGAGGGAGGGATTCACCGCACACAGCTTGCCGTAGGCACCCGCCGCACTGCTCACGCACCCGCCTCAGCCCCCCAGCGGCGGCTGTCAGCGGCGGCCTGCGAGGAGCCTCCCACACTCCACGGCCCCAGCCCGACTCAGGTGACTGCAGCCGCTGCCGTCCTGCCCCCTCCAGCTCCCCCAGCGCCACCTCAGGGCCAGCCTTGCCTCCTCACACCCTCCCCAGCCCACCCTGAAGGCTGCCCTGGGGCGTGGGGGGCCTCTGCCTGGTCTTCCTGGTCGGCTGCGGGCAGTGCCCGGGCTTGGACACGCCAGCCAGAGGGCGGTGCATGGGGGGGTCGGGGGCATCTCCTAGTTCGCACAGTCAGGCCCTGTCGCTGGTGGCTCCCTGCGGTGAGAAGTGACCCCAGCCATGGATGGAGAAAAGGCCAGGCTGGGGGCATGGCTCCCCTCCCCGTTGTCAGAGCAGGTCACTCGGGGGGGCTGAGCCCTGCCTGCCTCCCTCTGCTGTCCTGAGGAAGGACAGGGGGTTCTTTCCCAGACTCCTTTCCCCTAGTTCCCGAACCAAAGACAGCCTACACCCCATTTCTGCTTAGCGTGCCCTGCTGGCGAGACCCCAGATCCCTGAGTCTGCCCCTTCCTCTAGTCCTCAGCTGTCCAGGGTCAATTCAGTGCTTCCATAGGGGGTCAGTCCCCCGTCACGCCAGCCCAGGGGTTGAGTCTTGAGGGGGGGGCGAGGGAGAGGAAGGGTGGCCACAGCGCACCCCCCCCCCCCGCTGTGGGACCCCCAGAAAGGGAGTTGGGGCCCATCAACATGGGAGGACGTTGCCTGCACCTGTGCCTTTTGGATCGGTTGGCAGCTTCCAGGCAGGGGTGTGGGGTTCTCTCAAAGAGCTGTTTGTGCAATGTGAAGATTTGGGGTTTTTTGGGGGGCAAGGCAGCTCCATTTCTGTCTGTGGTGGCAGAGCGTGTTCTGCCTCTCCCTCAGCCTTTCCTGCCCCCTGGGTGCCCTGCGTCTCAGGGAGGGCCGAGCCCCAGGAGCTCAGCGGGCAGCTTCCTGGGGGAGGGCTGTGGGCCCCAGGACCCTTCCCTGCCCGGCGCCCCAGGGCTCCGTGGGCCACGCAGGCCCCCCCAGCCCTGCACATGCGCCAGAGGGCAAGGTGGCCTCGACCTCCAGCACACCCCAGAAGGCCAGTACCCTTGGGGGTGGGGCCTCAGTGGGCCGCCTGCCTTTCCTGCCCCGGCCCCCAGCTGTTTTGAATGTAGAAAGACTGAAAAGGGCCAGTAGGTACTTTTCTGCGGCGGGAGGGGCGCGGGGAGAACCGAGCCTGCACCTGCGGGCCAGCGCGCGATGGAGGCGCCCGCCGGAATCGGGGGGGAGGCCCCGGCACGCCCCCGGCCCCCGGCCCCCGGCTCAGCACCGCGCACTGCGCCCGGCGCCGGGAGAGCTGGCGTGGGCGCAGAGTGCGGGTTTATTTTTGTACTGACATTGGTAAGAGACTGTATAGCATCTATTTATTTAGATGATTTATCGGCAAATGAGGCAAAAAATGTTAAAAATACATTAAAGATGATTTTAAGAAAGCTCTTGGCGGCCTCGTGGTGTTCCCTGGCGCCCGCACCCCCAGGAAGACCTCTGGCCTGTGGCCTGGGTTTCGCTCCGGGACTGCCTGTTCCTGGTGTGGCCGCCCTGCCCCGGTCCCTGGGCCTCCAGCGGACAGCGGGGTCAGTCTGCGTGGTGGGTGGGATAAGAGTGGGAACCAGAGGCTGGGGTGTGAGCAGGTGGGGACCGTGGAGGCCCAGAGGTGCTTCTGATTGCTGCACCTTTTCTCTGCTTCCTCCTAAGTGTGCTGATCTTGAACCTAAGGTGGTACGTGCAGGGGTCTGCAGCCGAAGGTTCTGGAACCCAGACCTGTCACCAGGCCTACTGTTCTGTTCAGCCCAGCCCAGCACACCTGTCTGAACCAGAGAGTAAAGCAGGGAGGGCACGGAGACCAGCTGGAGCAGGCAGGGGAGAGCAGGCAAGGGGGTCGCCGGCCCCCCTCGGCTGCGGGCAGTAGCCACAGTGGGTGAGAGGAGGGTGGGCAGGCAGGGGCACACTCAGGTGGGAGATTGCCAAGCCAGGGGGAGGTGCGTGGGGAGAGGGTGGGGAGGTTCAGGCCAGGCCCATGCTGGCACTTCACCTGGGTGAAGGGAGGAGAAGCAGGGTGGAAGGGTGTCTGTCACCCCAAAGCAAGGCCCTTACCGAGGACGGAATGGGCAGGGGCTGGTTTGGGTTGTGATTCAAGGGACAGGGCGAGGGGCCCTACGGCCCGCGGGCGCCCGTGTGCACGGGGCGGCCCCGCAGGGTGCCTGAGAGTGCAGAGGCGCCTGGGGCTGTCCTCTTGCTGATGAAGGTGTGCTCAGCCACACCCATCTGCTCCCAAGCCTGTGCCAGCCCCCCCTGCCCGCCTTGCTCTGAGCTCACAAAGGCCCTGGCCTCCCTACATGGGCTTACGGGGTGGGTAGCAGCTCCCCAAAACTGGATTTTATTACAGTAATGTAACTCTGAAAGTCAGTTTTCTTCAAGCACCTAAACCTTATTATTAACTTAATAAAATGTCAAAGGCAATTATAGATCTAGTATGAGTGATTATTTTGAACCCTCTAGACATTTTTTTTAAAAGATTTATTTACTTATGCATACAGAACTGGGATGTAGGCCAGAGGTGTGGGGGTGAGAGGAGTCACCAGAGACAGAGTGGGGAGCAGAACAGGCCGATCGACCACAGAGGGGGGAGACCAGGCGAGGCCCCCCAAGGTGGAAGCCCTGGAGACACCCTAGGAGAAGCCCGCAGGCCCACCCACCTCCTAAGCCCCAGGGGGCGTCTGGGAGGGGCCCAGTGGTGCGAGGACCCCGAGGCTCTTGACCTTGGCACAGGAAAGAATTCTTGCAGGGGCCAAGCAGGTGAGTTAGAAATGAAGTGTTTTCCCTTTTATTCACTTTTCACATTGTTGTGCGCATTTTTTACAATCTTGTTTGATTATAATAGTTTATTTTTACATCATCTTGTGCCTTTTTGCATCTCAGTTGTCAAGCCCTGTGGACTGCTATGAACATTTTTACCCCCGAGGTGAAAGCCCTGGAGAGACCAAGGCGAAGCGCACCTGCCGGCTGGGATCTGGGCCCCAAGGGGGCGTCTGGGAGGGGCCCAGAGGTGCTGGGGAGGAGGACTCGGGCGGGGGCAGGCCCAGCCGCCTGCAACATCATAGTCACGTGCGTCGCTGGACACGACACAGAGTAACGGCCGGGACACCTCAGAGCAGAACCGAACCCCCACCTGTCTTGTCAGGGGAGGTGACGCCCGGCCCTTGCACTGGGGTCCAGGGGACGAGATCAAAGGGAGCCAGCATGCGACCCAGGCTGCAGGCTGCCTGCTGGCTTGGGCTGGGCCTTGTCTCAGGAATGGGGGAGGTGGTCTCTTTAAGGGACTGTTCTGTTCTGTGTGCTCAGCTTTGAGCAGCTCTGGAGCTCCATCCAGGCTGCAGCCATGACTAGTATGTAAATTGTCAGGGACCAGCCCCGAATGTCAGGTTGTAGAGAGGCTGTCACGGGCAGAGTCTCAAGGTGGGAACGACGTCGGCGAGGCGATATTCTAAAAATTGGAGAGCGGGAGCGAGGAAGACACGGGAGTGGGAGTTGGGTGCAAATCTTCCTGCTCTGTCTTCAGCAGAGGCTTATTTTTATACATTAGGAGTAAGTAGGGAGATGATATCAGCACAGGAACTGGGCTGAGAGATTACAATCAATTTTTTTCTAAGAACGGTTTGGGGTTGTTTTGACCCTTGCTTGAGATTACAACATTCTAAAATCAATCAAGGTAAAAAACAGGTACATAAGTGCACAAAATCTATGACTAATATTACTATAGTGGAGATCAACTAAGATAGAAGTCCCTTACACCTTATCTACTATTTAATGGGTTTGTTTTTC